GGAGGGGGTGAAGGGAGGGCAGGGGAATGGGGAAAAAAAATAAGAACCAAGATACTCAAGTAATGGTACAAGATCCCAGTGATGAATGTAACTGTATTTTATACCTAGAATGTACCAATAAACTTAATTGGAAAATAAATAAATAAATAAATATCATTATGCCTACACCTAAATACTGAAAAGAGTTGGCTATTATTCCAAAGAAATCACCATTTGCTTTAAGTATGAGTATTTTTAATAGAGATTTTACAATACTGGAAATATTTTATTAATATGTTTAATATTTTATTGGTTCTCACCAATAAGGACATACCATCCTTATCAGTACCTTTATACTCCTATTTAAAAAATAAATAAAATAGATGCTGCTTGTTTACAAATATGTCTTATATGTTTACAGACCTGGACTTCTTTTTAGGATAAAAATATTTACAATTTAAAGTACTGCATTGGAAATGTAGCTTTATAAAGAACCAGGGCTGGTAATGATACCTTGAGTAAAGGAGCCTTCACTGACATCAGTATTCTGACCAGTCCCTCTGGTATCAAAAGTTTTCTGCCCCATAAGCTATAGTAAAATAGACACCCTGAGAGTGGGTGAAAAGAATGCATGTCTTTCATAATGTGGGGGGGAAAATCTGAAAGGAAAGTTAAGAAAGAAAAACAGGTTTGACCCCTTGTATTAGTCAGCTTTCCCATTGCTGGGACAAAATACATAATACATACAATGTGGAGAAATTGCTCTATTTTACTCAGTATTTCAAAACATTCAGTTTATGATCAGCTGGCTCCAGCACAGAAACATCAGTGTAGAAGGGTGTGGTTTAGAAGAGCTGCTTGATTCATAATGGACAGGAAGCAGAGCAGGGGCTCAGTTCCAGAGATGAAAGGGCCAGGGACTAGGTACAGTACCCATGATCAGCCTCCATCACTCATCCAGACAGAACCTGAGGTGTATTTTACTAATCCCCTGTGAAGCTCTCAAGCAGGTCAAACTGACAGTCCACATTAGCTGTCACATCCCTAGAATCTATGTGAATCCTTCTATAATGTACTTTAGGAAAGAGAACACAGACAGGAAAATATCCAAAAAACATATTTTATCTTTTGTGCTTTAACATAGCACGTAGTCTGTAGAAGTAAGGTACCAGGTAATTGCAGCTTTGGAAGACACTGTTGGTTTGTTTTGTATTTCTTGAGCGTGGCTTTCTACTTCTTTCTTATCTGCAATTGACTGCTGGACACCGTATTTGAGATTTTACGTCCAAAAAGTGTTTGAAGCTTAATATGATTTTGTCTCCTCCCAATAGAATATTTCTTCCCTGTTTCTCTCCCTCTCCTTTTCCTACCTCCTTCCCTCACTTCATTCCTTTCTTATTTTTTTTTTCTTGCTACAGGTAAGAGAACATTTGTAGCACTCCTGCCTGAAACCTTTATTACACTTGGATTCTGTGACACCATACTCACTGGGATTACTCCTTCCCACCATCCTGTGCTCTTTTCCTACTTATTTCTCATTCCTCTCTATTATTCTGATTCTGTGTGTTGGTTTAGAGTTTTGGATATAAACTCTTTTCTTTCCATACTATGCCCATGGGTATTTTTTATTTTATCTCATGTCTTAAGGTTCCATTTACAGGCTGATAACTCCCAAATCTTTATTTCTAGCTGATATAGTTCTACTGAATTCCAGATCTGTACATGATTGTGTGCTTCATCAAACCCAACAGTTCCAAAAAAATTACTTGAAAAGAATTTTTGTGGACTAGTAATTCTATTCTCACAGACACTAGGGTCAAACAGCTCAATGATATGCTTAACTATTTTGCATTCAAAATGTAGCTCATTCACAAATATTGTAAAGTCCTTCTTCAAAATATTTCTGAAACTTAACCATACCTCATCATTCTCATTAACAATAATCTGGTTTAAAACACCCTTCTTTTTTGTATTTTCCTAATTTTTTAGTATGTAAGATCATTGATAGTGAACTCACAACATATGATAAAGTAGGATTGGCCATCAAAGATATAATATTTATTTTATTTTCAGATTTAACCACTATATTGATAAAAATAACATGTTATGTGACAATTCAAGTATATCACCACAGAGTTTTCTACTCAGATTCTATATTTCTTCACCTTTGAAGGGAATCAGACTTGAGTGGGAAGGTGAGGAGAGAAATTACAAGAGGCCAGTGAACAATTAGCAAGATTTTTAGGGGAAATGGGTGCCGAGTGAGAGAAGAACAACATATAAGTATTACTGTTACATGGGATGTGTGAATGATGAATGTCATCATACTGTATACCTAAAATGTACCAATAAACTTAATGAATTAAAAAAAGAGTATATTTCAAAAAGAGTCAGAGTCAAGTGTTGCAAAACATACGAATCACATGAAACGACTTTATTTCTGTTGCATTCAAATAAAATATTTTGTCAGTTTATTTGTGCTGTACTAACAAAGTATGTGAAGAGAGTTATTTTTTGCAATACATTTATTTCCTCATAGTTCTGTAGGGTAAGAAATCCAAAATCTATATGCCAGCAAGTTGTTTGTCCAGTAAGGGCTGCTCTCTGCTTCCAAGAGGCCAGCCTTGAACTACATCTTTCAGAAAGGAGGACTGTTGCATCTTCACATGGCAAAAGTGGAAGGGTAAACAAGCCAAACACTGAATAAGACTTCTTTCCTAAGAACCTTAAACCCATTCACAAGAGAGAAATTCTCATGGCCTACTCACTTTTTAAAGACCCCACTTATTATTATCACAATGATCATTAAGTGTCAATGCCTGAATTTTGGACAGAGCACATTCAAGTCATAGCAACCAGATAGTCTTTCTCTTTTTCTAAATATATATAGATGCTTTCATTTATTTTAATATTCTATCATCTGTGAATATTTAAAATGTTATAATTATATCCCTCAAACACACTTTGGATTTCACGACTTTATAATAACATGGAAAATTGGGTATGTAGGGGCCTGTGACAGTTAATCTGAATTGTTAACTTGGATGGATTAAGAGACTTCTCCAGAGGTGATAGGATCATGGGGGCAATGTATTCATGAATGAGCTAATCCACTGATAATCACATCTGGATGTGTTCTAGGAGGTGGAATCAGTTGGAGGTAGGTCACGGGAGGATTGCCTTTATAGGTTGTATATCTCGCTAGCACTCTTCTCTCTTGCTCTGCTTCCCAGTTCCCATGAAGTGCATAACTTTGCTAGATCATGCCCTTCTATCATAATATTTCTGCCTTGGAGACTGCTGACTCTTGACTGAAACATATAAAACAGTGATCTGAAATACACTTCTCCTTGAATTCATAGGTTTCATGTATTTTATCCCAGCTGCTGAAAAGCTACTCCAGTACACCACAACTTTTATTTCTTATCTTGACAGATTATTGAGTTGGAAATGTGAAATTATTACATGCACTATTTGGTACATTTAGACATTCTAATTCTAGGCCAATCTAATATTTCTTCTTGTTACCTCAGTCTTCTATGTATTCACTTTCTTTTCCAACTGAGAACATGGATTACAATTATTCACTTACTTTTTTCTTGTATCACAACCTTCCACAGGCTCCCATTTATTGTCCCACCATGTTCTCTTGACCACATCACCCTCCTCCAGAGACAATCGAATTTCAATGGCCAATACTATATTTTTTTTCTTTTCTCTATTGATTAAAATGGATATTATATTATGCATCTAATAATGCAAAAGTAAATGCCAGGAACCCTTTCTTTCTTTAAATCTAGTGGAGATATTACCAGTAAAAACATAATATAAATATGGAGTGAAGCTGAGGCAGGGGAAGTTATCTTCTTTCTGGTTTTTAGAAATTTTGCAAGGATTATAGATTTAATATGGCTCCCTTTCTTCCTTTCCAAATGAAGAGATTAAGATAAATTCTAAAAGCAAATTTGAAGATGAAGCAAAAGCACAATTGTTGCTTGTATTAAGTCACATTGGAAATGACCAATCACTTGGTACAAACCTACATATCTTCATACCTTATGTCATATCATAATCCAGATATAGATGTAATTGTAAAAAGTAAACAATAAAATTATTGAAAGAAAATATAAATAGATATATGACAAAATCATGTTTACTAGAAACGTTCAAATAATGATAATAAATTTTAAAACAATAAAAGGATGCATCTTATGGTATATTAACTGATTTTCTATATATCAATACCATAATAACTAATATTAAATAGAAATTGTGATATAAGATTTACAACATAGAAGACTACCAAAGACAGTAACAACTAAGGATGAAAGGACATAAAAGTAGTATCTTAGAATAGATAAAACTTTATCAGATATGTTTATCCCAAAACAGCCACTTGCAATATTTTATTCAATAAAAATTTATTACCAATAAATATTGGTGAAAATTTTCTATTTCTGATTGTTCAGTGACAACAAAACATATATAAGATAGACAAAAAAAATCAGTATTATTTGGATCATTATTTTTGGCAAGAATTCACTATGTTGACAATTCTTCTTAACCCTGATGTTATTATTTCATCTTCCATTCTCAAAGGAGACTCTCCTAATTCCTAGGTGTATTAGTTAAATTTTCTTTTGTTTTTTTTCAACATATAAATTACAATTTTACTCTCAGTATTGACTTGACCACATAAAACTCTTGCAATGTGTCTGTGGAAAAACACTTAAGAGACCAATTCTGTACTAAGATTGATGGATCAGATACATTTTCAAGAGTCAAACAGCATTTCTGGTTCTCTCTACCTGTTTATTAGTCTTTGCTTCTCGTTAGCCATTCTGATTATTAATGAATAGTTCCTTCTAAAATTAAACCTGAGAATGGGATTCATGACAATTGTTAAATCTAGGGATACTTGAGGTAAGCTTTCTGCATATTTTCACTGCTGCCAGTTCAATATAAAAACATGACTAGATTGTATTCATGTTACTACTAAGAAATCATTGTTTAGTAGCAAATTGCACTAAGGATCTATGTGGATGAAATAAAAACTAATGCCTAAACAAGCCTAAAGCATAAGTATTTTCATATTTCTCAAGCCATTTTTGTGAAATTTGGTAAACTAAAATATTTTGTCATATTAAGATATAAAGATGATATAGATGTCAATAGCTACATATGTGTATAATATTTGTGTATTTTAATTTGGATAGTCCACAAGGCCATGAGAAATTATTTTCATTTCTTGAATATCATTTCTTTTGGATAATTTTTTTCTTAAATTCTTTCATTGGTACATTAGATACAAATTTAAAAGTCTCCAATCTTGTTTTATGATTCACTAAAATATGTTAGCAGTTAGATCATCATATTCAAGGCATATGCAAAAGCTATACCCATACAATGATGAGAATTTCTAAGTAAACACAACACCATAGAAGTTGTCAATACCTCATATCCACAACTTAAGGACTTTATTACCTTCTACTTGTTTTGTCACATGTTCATATGAGATTTAAAAGTCCTTTAAACTTGTGACCAGTGGAGCTTATGAAATGCATAGTCTGAGTGATCATATCATACTGTTCAAAGCTTGTACTGAAGCATCAGGGAAAACATGGCGCCACTTCTTATGTTAAAGCAAGTACATTCAGTGTGGGTTTAGAACCTTCTGTGTGGACCACTGGAGTAAGGAATTTTCTCAAGTAGAAAGTGAAAATATTAGTAAAAATATATTTTCCTGAAAATATGTATAGCATGTTCCTTCATATACCCTAAGAAAGTTACATTCCAGAAAATAGGATATTTTTTGTAAAGATAGGCCCTAAACTTAAGAATATCACAGTTGAATTGGGGTGAGAGAATAGTTAGTAACCAATACAAAACAGCTATAAGATAGATATCATAGCTCTAAAACTGCAATAAAGGTGTACCTAGCCAATCTTAAAGAAATTTGTACCTTAGAACTGAATCTAGAGGAAGTCAAGAAAATGGACTAAAATTATTCAAAACAGAAAAAAATGAAATTGTTACAGTACAAGTGTTTCCTTCTGAGTCTGAGACCAAAGTGATCAGAAATGAAGTATATAGAAGAGGGAAATAAAAATATTTAGTGCATTCATGGTATATTAAGTGGCTTTAAAATGTAGAGTCAAAAGAAAATTGAACATTATCCAGACATGACTAATCAGGCAGAAAAACTTCAGGTAGAAATCCAGATACTTTTGGATTAGGCAAAAATAATGTCATTAATGAGTTAGCCAAAAAGAGTGAATGTGCATTAATGAATAAAAAGTCACATTTTTTTGTTTTGACAAGTAGTAGCTTGAAAAATTAAAGACAAGTCAAAGGGTAGATATCTATAGACTGCTTTCATTTCCCTTTGCTATATAACCAGAAGTGAGATAACTAGATCATATGATTGATCTCTTCATAGTTACTTTGAGGAACCTCCATAATTTCTCCATAATTTCTCCATAATTGCTGTACAGTCTTACCAAGAATGTATAAAGGAGGATAAAAGTATTAAAAATAATGTATGTTATGGGCATGTACCAATTCCCCAAAACAAACATTACTGTAATATATTGCAAACATCTACTAATAAAAAAGGAAGAGAAAGAGAGAAGATGAGGGAAGGGAAGGAAATAAGCTCATTTTGCTCCACCTCCTCATTAGCTTTTTGTTTGTTTGTTTGGTACTGGGGATGGAACTCGGGTCCTTGCGCTTGTGGAGCAGGCGTGGAACCACTGAGCTAAATCCCCAGCCCTGTTTGATTTTTGATAATAGCCATTCTAACTAAATGAGATAACTTACTGGAATTTTTTTTCCATTCCCCTGATTGGTGATTTGTGGTAATTTCCTCTAACTCCTGATCTTGCTAATATGTGTATTTTCTTTCTCTTGTTGGTATGTTTCATTTTACATTATTGGTCTGCCTGCCTAAAGGTTTAGCAGTGTTATTGATCTAAAAAAAAAAAAGGTTTTTATTTTACTGATCTTTTTCCCCATTGTCTTTTTTTTTTTTTTGGTCTCATTTTTATTGGTTTCTGGTCCTTGACATGGGTGGGGCTTATTCACTCTTCTTTTATAGTTTCTTACTGTCAAAGTTTATGTTTCATTTTTTATTTTTCATTTCCTTTCTTCTGTTTAGATACTTTAACCTTTTACACACAGATTGCTTAAAAGATCAAAAGTAGTTATGAGAAATCACACAGCAATAACAACATTCATTTTGTTGGGACTTACAGATGATCCACAGCTGCAAGTTCTGGTTTTTGTCTTTTTATTTCTCACATACATTCTGAGCATAACTGGTAACCTGACTATTATCATTCTGACCTTGATGGATTCTCATCTTAAAACACCTATGTATTTTTTTCTTCGAAATTTCTCCTTCTTAGAAATCTCATTCACAACAGTCTGTATTCCCAGATTCCTATACAGTATATCAACTAGGGATAATACCATTACTTATAACGCTTGCGCCAGTCAGATATTTTTTATTGGGCTTTTTGGGGCCACAGAATTTTTTCTCCTGGCTGCCATGTCCTATGACCGCTATGTGGCCATCTGCAAACCCCTTCATTACATGACCATCATGAGCAATAGAGTCTGCACCATCCTTGTCCTCTGCTGCTGGATCTCTGGGCTGTTTATCATCATCACACCTCTTGGTATGGGCCTCCAGCTGGAATTCTGCGACTCCAACATCATTGATCACTTCGGCTGTGATGCATCTCCTCTGTTTAAGATCTCATGCTCAGATACATGGTTTCTAGAGCAGACTGTTATTATCTGTGCAGTGTTGACTTTCATTATCACACTAATAGGTGTGATTCTTTCTTACATATATATCATCAGGACAATTCTCAGATTCCCTTCAGCTCAGCAAAGAAAGAAAGCTTTTTCCACTTGTTCTTCTCACATGATTGTTGTTTCCATCACATATGGCAGCTGCATTTTCATCTACATAAAGCCTTCAGCCAAAGAACAGGTGAACATCAATAAAGGGGTGTCTGTGCTCACTACATCAGTTGCCCCTTTATTAAATCCATTTATTTATACCCTGAGGAACAAGCAAGTGAAACAAGCTTTTAATGATACAATCAAAAAAATTGCATTTGTCTTACAAAAGTGAAAGGATGCTGTATTTGAGCAATAAATGAAAATGAAAGGTATCTTTACATTTTTCTAGAAGTCCCAGGTAGTTTCTCATGATCCTTTAAAACTTGAATTGTGAATCTACTTTGGTAAAATTATTTATTTTTCTCTTTCATTTTAATTCCAATTGTTTTTATCATTAAATAAACATAAGAAGGGATTTCAAAGAAAAGAATCTTCCTTCATTTTGAATTTGGTTATTATAACATTATTCAAAAAGAAATTGCATAATTTGACAAAATGGCACTTTTAACCCTTGGGAAAATTTGGAGAAAATAGTTTTATAAAACTCTATTAATTTAAACATATGTAGGCTGGAAGTGTAGCTCATTGGTGAAGGACTGGGTTTGATATGCAGGACTACAAACAATAATTACACTTAATAATAATGGCAATAAACATACAAACTTTATGAATCACTTGAAATATAAGAACGTTTCATTTTGCATGAGGGTATTAATAAGACATCTTTCAAAATGAAAAGGTCAAAATAGGCAAATAAAGTAAAATTAAAACCTATTCTAATAGGAGAAAATAAATGCCAATAATATAGAAACAAATATAACATACAAAAGATTTAAGCAAGCCACAATATTTAGATATACTTCAATAAACTAAAGAAAAATTGAACATAGCTGTTTGACAATAGCATGCACACACACGTGCACATATATGAGCAGAAAAATAAAACAATAAGAGGACTTCTTCCAGCTTTGTCAAATTTAGAGATATGTGTTAATGCTGTCTCCCATAAACAGCATTAAAACTGAGTCAATTCTATAAGGAAAGTTTTGACAAGAAGCCTTCATGAGGTCATAATTCACACTAGCTCAACCCACACTATGACTCAAGACTAAACTCAGCATGACGGTGCCTTCTCTGAACTAACTTGGCAAAAATTAAGGCAGCTGAAATGGTTTGCACCTGCAGGTCAAGGTTATATAGAGGAGGGATCTGGACTGAAGATTTCTCTGTGTTTGACAGTCCCAGGTATGCTTGATTAGGGAACCAACAACACATATGTAGGGCAAGTGTAGTCCAGGATTACCAGACATAAATCTAAATGCTAAGATATCAGAGGTCAAGTAGTCTGTGACCTTGGCATTTTGTTCCATGTAGAGTGAAGAGACCTTGAAACCACAGGCATCTACTTGAATGCTACAAACACAGATATCTTAAAAGTAATAGCGACATCCTACAGCAAGAGTTAGTAAACTTAGGTGGGAGAATTAAATTCATCTACCACACGTTTGTGTAAATAAAATTTTATTGGAATGTGTCCATGATCATTCTTTTGCATAGTGCCTATAGCAGTTTTTCATGACAGTGTCCAATAGTTTAACAGGGACCTCATGGACCAAAAAACCAAAGATGTTTACTACCAGGCATTTTACAAAAAATTCTTACTCATTTTTGCTATAGGATCTACTTTAAAAAATAAATTTGCATCTTTGAGAAAGAAATTATAAGAAGTAGGATTTTGTGTCACCATATCAACCAGATATTTCTAAAGAGTCATACCTAAGGTTGTTAGTGAGCTAACAAACTCAGTTGATCTTTCTGTAGTCTCCTCTTATCACTCTGAATGTTCTTCAAAACAGATTTTGAAAGAATGAGAATTTTGAGGACATTATCTGTTCTGTCCATGTAGATCTCATGCTGACAATGAAACACAAAACCACGTCAATGTTTTGTAACACATAGGAAACTCACCTGCTTTGCCATGAAAAAAAAAACTCTATTTAACCCATAAATTTCCAGGAGTATTGAATCTCATCCCAGCTCCCACAAAATAATAGATGGTGCTATGTAAATTCAAAACCAAGCCCCACAATGTATATGGCCATTTGATTCTAGTATAACTGTCTGAATGATCTTACCATCATTTGACTAAGATCTTTCACATGCCACAAATGTAACACATTGTCCATGGAGCTTGGATCCTACCTCGAAATACTGCTTAGCTAAAACATCTCAAGTGTGACTGGTCTTGCACTTGCATGAGAATAACAAGTTCACTTTTGAACAAGGGTCTCTTAAGCTGAAGGAATCCACCAAGACAAAAATTGTTTGAAACCCATTCTCATTAAATTCTTGTGAATCACAGTATTCAGGGAGGCTAGAAGGAGGATCACATGTTTGAGCTCACTGTGGGCAATTTAGCAACTTATCAATTTAGCTAGACCCTGTCTTATAATAAAAAAATACAAAGAAAGAGGATGTAACTCAGTGCAAAGAAACTAGGTTCAATCCTCAGTACAAAAACAAACCAAACAAAAAAGAAATTCTACTGGAAAAGTTGATTCTTTTATTAAATAGGTTGTATTACAATATTTATATTGGGTCTTGAATCATGTAAAAAGTGTTTTCCCTTGGCATTTAAAATAGATACTGAAATTTAATATTTTAATTAAAACCAAATTCAAAATTATGTACAGGTATCTTAAAATCAGGACAATTATTACAGTGATTTAAAATTGACATTTGATTTTTCCCTCTTTGATTAAATATTAACCACTTCTGACTTTTATCATCTAGACCTGAAATAGGCAATAACATATACTGTACTTTACTATTATTTCTTTGATTAGTAGTTTCAAATAGTTTCTTTACTATGTAAAACAGAAAAAATGAATAATCAGCTGATAAGGCTGTGTGAGAAATTTGTGAATCAAAATATTCATACTGAAACACATAAGTTTTTTCATGTTATTTAGATAAAAGTTGCTTATTTGGGGCTTTTAAAAATAAAAAATTCTGCAAGTGTTGATTATTAATGACTGAGAAACAACCAATTGTATCTGTTCCATGCAAAATTTTCAAAACTTAGGAATAAAATTTCTGACTAGAATTATGTTGGAAAATTCATCTGATATTCTTTTTAAATGCAAAGAAATATGACCATGATACTGTGCAAATTATTGCATAATTTAGTGCAACATTATATTAACAATACACAAAGTATAACAAAATTATTTCAAAGAATGACAATAAACTTTACTTATTTTACCTCTGTTACTCTAAGATTCACCATTACATTGAAAGCTCATAGAAAAAAATATTGTTTATATTTAAAATATTATAATGTTTTCATACAATGATCATTCTTAGGAAAAAGACAGACAAATAATTCTGACATATAAAAACATCATAAAGTCCTGTAGGGAAAAAAGAAATAGGAGAAATATAATCATTTCAATTGAGCAAAATTATTAATGCTAATTGTAGAATATTCCTGAATTAATAACCACAGGAAAACAATTGTATGTATCTAATCCAAAAATGGTGCTTCTGCAATGAGATTTAAGTACATGCATAGAGATGAAAATATGTCACAGCAGCTTCCCATGTAGCAGCACGGGGTGAGTGGTCCCTGGCCAGCTGGAGCCCTGATCCATCTGGCTCACCACACACGCCTGCAACCAGCTAGATGGTGAGAACACCTCGGCATGCCCACCAACTGTCAGGGTAGCCATGCGGATGCCTGCAAACCACGCCCCCCCCAGCCTCTGGCCTCTTGGCTGTGAAGCTACCTGGTTCCGCATTGCAGAGGCACAGGGACGCATAAAGGCCATTGTCCTGAGCTACAGAAGTGAACAACAGATAGAGGGGTTCTCTCAGACTCCTTGATGAAAATTGAAGCCCACTGGAAAAGTGAAGAGAATCTCCGTAGTGAAAGCACACCAGACCACCATACTTGGTAAGTTGGAGGGATCATCACCTCCCATCAGAACCTGGACTATCTTTAGGGGAACTGGAACCTGCACTAGAACTTTCCAGAGTTCAACCTTGCAGGAGGACAAAGAGCTCAGCTTGGAACTTGCAGCCAGAAATCTGCCTGAATATCATGGGTCTATGACTGGCTTGCTGAGACTCATTGACTTATATCTGCACAATGCTGCCCACATTGTCTATTGTGACAGCAGAGACATACCCTGAAGGAGGCCCTTGATTTTTATCTTTTATTTGTTATTTTCAAAATTATCCCTATTTTTTGCTCTTGTTTTTAAATTCTTTTTCTTTTTCTACTCTTTTCAAATTTTTATTTTTCTCTTTTCTTTCTTTTCTCTTTTCTGTCTCTCTCCCCCCCCCTCGCTCTCTTGCTGTCCCACATTGTTCTTCATCTTCCTTTGTGTTCCTGTTCTGCCCCAATTCATACTTTTTCTTTATTTTTCTTTTCTTTTCATTTTCCTTCTGTCACCTGTGTCCTCTAGCCTCACTACTAACCTTCCCCTATCCTTGCACCTACCTATCCCTCACTTCCCAATCCCTTCTAACTCCCCATACTGAAGGGTAAATTTGCTATATTGAAGAGTTTATTGACTGTAAACATATGTTGGGTTTGTCCTAGATTTTGATTTAATTCACACAGGTAAAGGTGATAGATTAATAACCACCACAAATTTTCATTTTCTAAGATATGCTTGATGCTATGGTATTGCTGATTGTATCACTTGGGCTAAGGTATTGTGATTTATCAAATCAGTTGTCCTTCTTGGTATAATGAAAATGAGATAGCCTCAGAGCCATTAGAGATGCAAAACCTAAGCACCAGCTATATCTAGAAGACACCTCTGAGAAGCAATAATTTCATAAGAGTTCTAACTACAAGCAACAAAGATACTTAGAATAAGCAACTTCAAAGTACCAACCCAGGAATTAAACCATGGGCAGTATCAAAAAGAAAAGTGAGAAGACATTTAATCTAGGCACAAACTCAGATTTCCACCCCACAAAAGGCAAACTCTGGGGGAAACAAGGTGAAAAAGTCTGATAATCAACCACCTGGACACCCTGAACTGATAGTACAGGAAGGAACAAAACAGATGAATGAGGCTTTAGAAAAATTCAAAGCAGACATAATCCCCCAGATAATTACAGAGATGGTGAGCACAGTGAAATCCATGATTAAAGGCTCTAAAACAGAAACAGATGAAAAAAAAAAAAGATGAGCTCAGAAACATACTGGAAGCCATG